AAAGGTTGGTAATAATGATAATGGCCTATAGTTGGCTAGATTTTGTGCATCTCCTTTTTTGAGGATCGGGATTACCTTTGCAATTTTGAGTTTTGACGGAAAGATCCCACTAATAAAAGAGGAATTGATTAAGTGGACTATTGGTTTTATTAGTTGATTACTTGCTTTCTTTATCACTATCATTGGAACCTCATCATATCCAGTTGAAAGTTTATTTGGAAAAGAACTTAAAATTTTTTTAATTTCAATTTCTGTAACTGGTCTAAATTTAAAATTTTGATTTGTGAAATTATTGAAACAAGGCAGAGCATCATTGTTATTTTGACTATTTGGATCTAACTGTGGAATTATCGAACGTTCAACATAACTGGAGAAAAAATCATTAAAATGTCTACAAATTTCCTGCGGATCTTCTAATGTATGGTCGTTATATACAATTTCAATGTTGCTACACTGTTTTTTCTTATTACCAATCTCAGAGTTGAGGATCTGCCAGGTTGTTTTACTAACGTTTTTAGATTCTTCTATTTTATTTTTATAAAAATCTTTTTTTTTATTAATTAAATTCTGTTTGTAATTTTTCCTTAAAGTTTTAATTCTGTTAAACATTTGTAGATCCTTAACAACTCTGGCTTCTATACTTAACTCTACAATTTTCTGTCTATCTTGTTTTAAATCAGGTGTTATCCAACTATCATTACAATTCCTGGACCGTTTTTTAACTTTAGGAAAAACTAAATTGAAATAGTACATAAAAATGTCATGAAAAGTATCAAATTTTACATCAACACTAGCATTATATACACTAAACCAATTCTGTCTTTCTAATATCGTACCAAACAATGACAAATTGCTTTCATTAAACACTCTAGTTTCTCTTGTCACATATTTATTTTTGTGCTTAATTTTGGCTTTATTTAAGTATTCTCCAACAGAAGGATCTACAGATACCATTAGCCCATCATGGTCCGATAATTGTGTGTCAATTCCCTCGACTCTAATTGAAAGCTCATCAAAATTAGTCAAAACATTATCTAATGCGGATTCTGTAGTACAAGTTATTCGGGTAGGAAAATTAACTAAAAATCTCATATTGTATTTACTTTCTTTACATTATGTTTACACTGTAGGTAAGTGGGAGAGTGGACGCGGTGACGTGGTGACGTCTATGTTTATTTATACTGAGTTGGCGGTCGTCGCGGAATGTACCCGTCAAGTGATCCAAGAGATGGAGTTTGTGTTAGTGTTGTGATTAAGAAAGTAAATGCACCTTACTGCATTATTTACTTACATTTTCATGGAGAACAGTGCAGGCCACCAACAATCAACATCTTATTTAAGTACTTTTAACAAACACAGGCACAGATTTTTCCCACCATTCGTGTTCGGGTAAACTTTGTTTGTATGATAGTCTCTAGCAGCCAGTTTATCAGTTTGTTTTAAGCGGATCAGATAATTTGCTTGCTCAAGGTGTTTAATTTAGGCGTAAAACATCATTTACTCTTTTAACAGTAAGTAGAGACACTTTATGTTATGTGTGTAAAAAGATGCGGATATACGTTGTGGTTGCCCTACAACTACTATACTTGACTAAATGTGTGATTGTCAATAAGATGTAGTCGGAGAGTTTTCCATTATAAACAGTTAACTTATAAGGCTACGAACCCTATGGTTTACATTACTACCATTGACTTGAAACCATAGTTTGGTCTAAGGTCAGTTATACTACTGTAGATGTTTATCTCTAAAATAAAAATAATAGTCACAACGCCGGTATTTGTAAAAAAGCAAATGTTTAAAGCTTCAACTAGTTGCAGCTTCAAGTAATTGACGCCACTAGTTCAACATTACCAGGGTTTATATGTCGATGGTTGAACATACTGTAGAGTGATTGTTGTTGATGTTCAGCTACTGTAATTTGACTGACTGCGCCTTCAATGTGGCTAACGCAATCGAGCTACGCCATGCAATGCGGGCTGCGGGTGATGGAACGTAAAAGCATTAATTAAGGATTCATAGTCAATGGTAAAAGCATTGACTACTTTGAGCACTATGTGTAGAGATATAAAGTCAATGGTAAAAGTTCGTTCCTTTTTTAAATTTTGAGATGCATTAACTTAATTACTAATTTTCCACCACAAATAATAGCTACCTATTCCAAAATACAACGTGGAACAAAGATTTAAGCGATTGAATGAAAGCTGAGCTAGATATTCAAATTTAAAGAATAAGGTACAGTAGTTGTATAGCAGGCCTATGAGAAAAATATTATAAACATAGCAAGAATTTGAAATAACCCTTTTATAAATCAAAACCATCAAAAGATCAAGTTAATCATGGTCAGGTTAAAACCTCAATACAATACTTTCAATCGTTTACATTTGTTGGATACTAAATTACTTTAATTTATTGCAGTTGTATCCCCATAACATTGGCCTACTGGGCACAAAAGTAATTAAATCACTAACCAGAAAAAAATCAAAAATCAAAATTTCTTTTATTCCGTATAAAATAATTATTTTTACAGTTTTTACAAATAATGAATTGCAATAGAAGTATAACTGAATACCTTATAAGTATACAAGAGTCGTTTTATATTGCAGCCTAATAAGGAAGAAAAAGAAACTTTGATACTTATTAAAAAACAAAACAAAAAACTTCTAATTACTGGCATACTTACAAAGCGCTAGCGGAAACAGTCTAAATTGTTTCAACTCTGGTGGGAATTCAAATATCAGTTTGATAGGGTTTCATAAGAAATTAACAAAATCTAATATGTAAATGCAAATCATAGCTTCATAAACATACTATGGACTAGAATAAATTCACAAAACATACTGACAGTGGAGGGAAATTCTTTTGTTGTTTTCTCTTGTAAATATCCATAAATAAGTGATTTCAGCTATATTAGCGAATAACTGAAATAATCCTTGCAACTATCTTTTAAATATAGATAAATCATTAATTTTCTCTTATGGTTGAAAATTAGAGACTTAGTTCTATGGTTCTAATTCTTAACATGAGAAAACAAAACAACATCCAATTAAAGAGACTATCTACCAATAGATATTTTTATTTGAAATAAATATCAGATGACATCAAAAGATACTAAATCAATTAACTGCATGTTTAAAATAAACAACGCTTTCATTAGTATTTAGTCCTCTTACTGTTTACACCTCATAAGTTATAAAGGTAATTTTACACTTAAGCGATCCAGTGGTCCAACATACATATGGGGCAACATGCCAACAATGTATGGCTTGGGGCCAGTTAGTATTTTAGTTATTACTATTTTCTATTTGTTAATTATTAATCATGGAATATGTAGATTTGAATCAGTCAGTTGAATTCCTTTATACTTTTGTCCCCGGTTTATAATGGTTTTGTTTACTTAAAAAAAAAATAACTCCTTATTTAACTTCTTTTCTAATTCTAGATTTGATTGGTGGAATCACCATTCAAAATTTGCACTATGCTACTCCTTTTGAACAGCCTAAATTTTTTTTTTTATCATGTTACCATCCAAAAGTGAGAACAGACAGGTTTAAAAGGTTTCCAAGATTTATAACCGAGTGAGTGGGATTTCAATCACCCTAATTCTCGCCAAATTGCCAAATTTGCATTTGAAAGGAATTTCAGAATTTTGTTAAATCTCATCAGCATTAATTACCGGTACATGTTTATCAATCTGTAACGAAGGCTAAATTATGTACTTTGTTCAAATTGTATGATTATAATTATATTGGCCACAAGTATAATCTTGTTATGAACATAGTTTGATCAGTTTGAATCAATATAATATTGTGTTTTATGATGTTTAAAACTAGTTAGTATTAGTTTGTTCTAAATTTAATTTAGTGGGTTCTTGCAATCAATGTTTTTGTGTTAGGAATCTTTCAGAGAGTTAGGATTACTTACATTGTCCTGTTTAACTTGGCCATCTATTGTAAGTTCAAGAAAATCAGTAGATCCTCGACCAAAAAAAGACGTAAAATTACCAATTGCAACAACAATATGACATTTTTTAACGGTCACAAAATAGAATAAGAATTCTGTACTAACTCTCTAAAGTTTTCAAACAAACTCATAATCAGGAATAAGTTTGTATTTAAACTAAAATATCTTTTCATGACGAGTCATTAAGAAAACAAAATTTAAAGTCAATCATGTTTTACTTGGCCAATTGTTTGTGAAAAACTTTATTTAAAGTCACATAGGTTAGGTATCTAAATATAGTTTGCACTTTTCAGCAAAATGTTTATTTTAACTTGGACTTTTCCAATTTTTGTATTTGTGTTCTACTTGCAACGTTATACCATCACGTGTTGTGTGCCTACTAAAATGAAGAGTCCAACCATACAACAAATACAATTACCACCTCAAAAAATTTATAACTATATTTATTTATTTATTTCCTACAGTAAATTGCCAATACCTACATGAAATTACAAAAAGTATCATACAATTATACAATGAAGTAGAACATAGTATAACGTTAACCAGAGATAATTGATAAAATGACAACAAAGCTAGACATATCAAGAGTTAACAAAAAACTTGGTAAATAATAATTTAACTAACAGTAAATTAACAGCAATAAATTAAGAGGAAAAACAATAACAATGTAGTGACAGACGATTGTGAAGATATGAGAATAGAAAGTGGTACAATATTAACAAGAAAAATAGCTAACAAGCAAAACAGATAAATTGTGATACGTGATGACAACAGGACGGTACAGGAACTAGAAACTAAATAACAAAGCAGAAAAAACAGGAAATATTTAAATTAGACTATAGTGACAATTTACAGTTTTTTTTAGCGAATTTCCCATATTTCTTATGGGAATAGGCTATTTTGCCTACTGAAAGCGTTCAAATCACTTATCCCATCTCCCATCTCATATTTCAATCAATCAATCTTCAATCTTTTTATTTTAACCTAGAACTATATAGTTTAGCCATCCAGTTATGGTGATGTGTACTGTGTTGTTGCAGAACGCTACAGTGGTGCGTATGAATGGCGTGTCCACGCTGGCTACAGAGGCGGAGGGAGCAGTCAAGTTCGGATGGATCAAGGGTGTGTTGGTGCGCAACCTGCTCAACATCTGGGGTGTCATGCTGTTCCTCAGACTGTCCTGGGTAGTGGCACAGGCCGGCATAGGTAACTCATAGTCATCACCTTAAATAGTCTCACCCTCACCAGTAGCATAGGCAACTCATAGCCATAACTTTAAACAGTCTTACCCTCACCAGTAGAATAGGTAACTCATAGTGATCACCTTAAACAGTCTCACCCTCACCAGTAGCATAGGCAACTCATAGCCATAACTTTAAATAGTCTCACCCTCACCAGTAGCATAGGCAACTCATAGCCATAACTTTAAACAGTCTTACCCTCACCAGTAGAATAGGTAAGTTAACTCATAGTCATCACCTTAAATAGTCTCAACCTCACCAGTAGCATAAGCAACTCATAGCCATAACTTTAAACAATCTTACCCTCACCAGTAGAATAGGTAACTCACAGTCATAAGCTTAAATAGTCTCACCATCATAGGTAACTCATCATGACCTTAAACAGTCTTAGGCCCCGGGCATGAAACGAGCGTTGAGCGGCATTCGAGGGAATAAGCATGACTCATCTGAGTGTCGATTGTTGTACAAAAAGTAATTGGGCAGGGTTTGGCGGTACCTTCAACGCTAAGCGACGCTGCTCACTGTCCCCCACCCTTCAGATCTATCGTGACACCCCTCTTCAAATTTGCACGGCAACATTCGCTCGACGCTCAATGCTCGTATCATGCCCAGGACCTTACCCTAACCAGTAGCATAGGTAACTCATAGTCATCACCTTAGACTGCCTTAGACTGCCTTACCTTCACTAATAGCTGTAACAAATGTAGTGCCTGTCAAATGTATTAGAACAACCCCAGTAGGCTCATCAACATTTAAAATGTTTCAATGACGTCATGGCATCATTAAAAGTATTTACTATAGAACCAACTGAAATACATTCAGTTGTTGTATGGAATTAAAAAAAAATGCATAGCCCTTCTTGATTAATTGCAGTATGAAGTTAGAATGAAGGGGACTATGCCCAAGAGCAGTCTCATTGGGCTCTGAACTCTCTAAAAAAGCTCAGGATATTATCCATAAGCACATATTGCACAAATGCTTGTAGGATTCATGTGTCTTAGTTCTTCATCCAGGCCTAGTAAAATATCACTTACAAAAAAATATATCATTTATTTTACTGAAGGAAATAATAGTTCCTGAAAAATAGTTTGCGAAGACATAGATACGCTCTACCTCCTCAAGGTAGTTCCAATCTCAAACAGTGATACCAAATTCAGTTGTAGCTCATGCTATAGTTATGCTATCGGTGTTGAGTGTTGATGATTGCTACATACCTGTGTGTTTCAGTACAGGGAGTGCTGCTGATCTTTGCTACATCTGTGGTGACATTTATTACGGCTCTGAGCATGTCGGCCATCAGCACTAACGGACTCGTAAAGGGAGGTAAGATCTAACATAGACAGAGTTTATAAATAATATCACTGTTCAATTATGTTCACTTATAAACTAGACGGTAGGCTTTTTTGTGTAAAATATACCCTTTAAATCTTGATTGTAAGGAGAAAAAGGCATCGTTCAACTGCTAAAAATACTGGCTGTCGCTTCAGGTGCGTTGTAGCAACAGCAACCCATTTTCTACAAACAATTTTTTATCTTGTAAAATTCTAGAATGCTCCAAAAATTGCTGCAACCCATCTAAGATGTCGGGTCAGTATTTTCATCAGGTAATGTGTCGGGCATTGCTTGAAGACTATTATTTGACTAAATTCACACTTGCTGACTGTAAAAATTATTGAGAAGTATTACTTGAGACATTTCATTCAAATTATCTGTCATATTATGATTATCTTATTTAAGTAGTAAGTGTTGAGATGCATTAAAATAAGGTTTTTGATGTTTTTTTCTTTTTTACATTGCCTGCACTTTTTGATTCCATAAACAAGAAAAAAAAAAATTTTTTGAATACTTAATCATACTTATTGGGTATTAAATTAGTATTACTTTGCTTAGAACACTTTGATGTACTATTCTACTGCACAAAAATGATTAAAATTGAATAGTAATCAGTTTAACTCCCAGGTTTTTATGTCAATTTGCAAAGTACATTTTAGTCTAGCTATTTGATAACGTTCAATTTAATATTCTTTATGCGGTAGTAGCTGTTGTAAACTAAAACACATAAAAGTCACCCAATACAAAACTAACATAAACGGTTTATAAAGTATTTGAATTTCTATAATTTTTTTATTCTAGAATTAAAATCTTTAAATTCTCAAAATTCTAGGAAAAAATTACTCAAAGGTTATACTGATTTCCATTAACTGTAACCCAGTAACCTTGTTATAAAAATCAGGGTCTACCTTGCATGAAATGGGGTAGTAGGTTTCTTTTTTTTATGTTGTTTGTAATAGTACCGAGATGCTAAATCCAAATTTTCGACCTCGGCGACCTTCCGGATCACCTCCAAAAAGCTTAAAAATCGATGGAATTTCGCACTATTTTTACGTTTGTCCAATTTTGACCCTGAAGCATCACTTTTTCATAAAGAACAAGCATAATCATTTTTAAAGTATATTAAATTACCTATCATATAAGACCAAAGTGGTTATTACAGGCCTAATAGTTTTCAAGATATGACTCCGCAAACAACGGCTAAAATTACCAAATTTTGAATTTTTTTAAAGTTTGGCCAACGTTAACCCTAAAGCATAACTTTATCGTTATTTTTCATTAAAACAACCATAATTACTTTGAAACTGCATTAAATTACTCACAATTTAAGACCAAAATGGTGATTATAGGCCTAACAAATTGAGAGATATGCCTCTTCAAGGTTCATAAAATAAATGTTTGTATTTTAAGATTCAACTTTCAAGCTATTCAATTTGGTCAAGTTTTATAAAGGAACCATAATAAGAAATAAACAAATTTATTTCATTTCGAGTACAGATTGTGTTATAAATATTTATTTTTAATTTATTTTATTTATTGTATCTATCTTCATAAACACACACGTACATTGTTACAATAAATGGTTCTCGGGGATAGAACACAGGCCTGTGACGAACGGTATTTATTTATTTTTAAGTAATTTTGATTTTAAATTAAACTGTTTACAATATAGAAATACCTAATGGCTTAAATACTATGATTTTTAATACAGATATGGCTTTTGTGATAGCATAAAGAGTGCATAAAAGGATTTACAACTGTATTTTTCCCAAATAAACCTCATTTAAGGGGTCAAAAACATTACGTAAATTAACTAATTTGACCTAACAAATTTTCTGTCTTAAACTTTGAAATGCTTAAAATTGGCTTAAATATTATAATTTTGAATACAATTATGGTTTTTTAATTGCATAAAGAGTTATAAAATGAATACAACTATAAGATATACAAATAAAGCTCATTTAATAGGTGAAAAACAATACGTAAACATTGGTTTTGCGTAACAGATTTTCTGATTTCAACTTTAAAATGGCAAAAAGCTTAAATTTAATAATTTTGAATAGGATTATGGTATTTTAAATTACACAAAGAGTATATAAATGGAATACAATTCTAACTTAAACAAAAAAATCATATTTAATGAGTCAAAAACATTACGTAAACAAAATACTCAAATTATTTTTGCTAACATTTTACTTTATTTGTTTATTTTCTTACAGTTTATATATTTTTAACTCTTGAAAATGCTTTATTGCACTAGATGACTATACACTTAATGGTATAAAACCAATTGAGACTATAAAAAGTCAATAGTTTGCTTCATAAATCAAAAACAAAGTCAGATTTACAAGAATTTATGCGAGTTTTGTTGTGCATACATTATTTGTTAATATTTTTCAAATTAATCACTATTCATTTGATACCTCATATATCAAAAGAGTACTAGTTGGAGCAAGGTAAGAAACCAAAAAATACCAATAAAAACCTATAGTTTACGCAGGAATTAAGTTTTAACACAAGAAAGAGCTAAATACCACCCACAGTGCCAAGGGGACTATGGACACCTGTGGTCACTATTACCTACAAACAACCATGATATGACTCATAATGCCATATAGTTTTTTTTGGTCAGATATTGTAGATATTTGAATTATATACATCCTGCAGTTAATCCCATACTGATGTGTTGAGGCGTTCAAAAGTTATAGGACTTTGAAATTTCAAATTGAGACAACTTTTCTCACCCAAAAAATCATATTATTAGTCTTATTTTAATTAAATTCTCAAAATTTGTTAAAATTTGTCCTCTTGATTTAATTCTTAAAGGTATAGCATACCTAAAGGTTGTTTAATCTTATTCCTTATCAAGAAATTGTGAAAATTCATAAGCATGCAGGCAGGCAGATACAGTGTAAGAGTTCCTTATCTGTTATCAGGCTCATGTAAGGATACCTATATCCATGTCCTTCTAGTGTCTGTGCTGTATGCTGTAGTTTGAACAAGTTGGTTCTTCCCCCCACTACTTCTCAATTCATACAGCACAGACAGGACAGGAGGTTCTAGGAGTGCCAGTAAATCCTGGCTTAGAAGTAATAGTAGAAGAAGTAATATATTGCATGGCAGAACGACAGTAAAGTTGAAACCTTTTTTCAATGTTGCATCTCTCAATGTGTTAGGCCTATAATCACCATTTTGGTCTTAAATTGTGAGTAATTTAATGCAGTTTCAAAGTAATTATGGTTGTTTTAATGAAAAATAACGATAAAGTTATGCTTTAGGGTTAACGTTGGCCAAACTTTAAAAAAATTCAAAATTTGGTAATTTTAGCCGTTGTTTGCGGAGTCATATCTTGAAAACTATTAGGCCTGTAATAACCACTTTGGTCTTATATGATAGGTAATTTAATATACTTTAAAAATGATTATGCTTGTTCTTTATGAAAAAGTGATGCTTCAGGGTCAAAATTGGACAAACGTAAAAATAGTGCGAAATTCCATCGATTTTTAAGCTTTTTGGAGGTGATCCGGTAGGTCGCCGAGGTCGAAAATTTGGATTTAGCATCTCGGTACTATTACAAACAACATAAAAAAAAGAAACCTACTACCCCATTTCATGCAAGGTAACATGCGTTAGGTTACTGGATTACTGATTCAATATGTAATTTCATCTCTTATAGGTTACACTTTGTTTTTTGCAATGCAATATACATATATATATATATGCAAAGAAGGAGAAATAAGAATCCATAACTTTTCCATTGATTTACAAAGATGTTGTCTGAAGTATACTTGAGAACATGAAAACAGATTTGCTGAAGGACGTTGAATCTCTCTCAGGTGGAGAGAGATAAGTGTCTGAAAGGGTTGTTGAGTTACGATCATAATAATGAAACTCTCCTGGCTGTAAGATCCTCCCTTATTTATTGCCTGGTTCATATTGAGTTGTGGTTTTGTGTATGTATAACCAATAATCAAAATATGTTGTTCAAGTCACAGTTCAATTTATTTTTTATTTTCACAAATTAACTATATTTATGTAATATAAAACACACTTACAATTTTTCATTCTAAAAAAAACACTAAAAACAAAAAGTCCAGCATGTGATAAACAAAAGAAATACAGTTAGTAGACTCCCTCTTATCCGGACTCCTCGGGACCGAGGCCAGTCCGGATAACCGGTTTTCCGGTTAAACCGACGTCCCCAAAAACTCATTAAAACGGACTGTTTACTGTGATATTTGATTTAAATTGAGGAGAGCACACGTGACACGTGATCATTGGTCTCAAATCTTTCCCACGAGAACAGTCATTTCAGTACTGCCCACTTCCTGCCTATCTAGTCCGGTTAAAGAGATGTCATTTCCGCCGAGTGTAGTCCGGTTAATCCGATGTTCGGTTAAAAGGTGTCCGAATAAGAGGGAGTCTACTGTAAGGGAAAAAATATAAATGCTCCAACATTTAAACTTACAAAAATCCCCTATTGCTTAAAACTTTCTTCACTGAACCAGGTACAAAATGTAGATACAGATATATAGTAGCTTACGTGAATAAAGATGTACTATAGATTATTTCTTTTTTTTGTATTTCCTTCATATCCTAGGATCGCTGCTTTGACTTGGAACAGTTAAACACATTACTTCAAGCTAGTCTTAGAGTGTCACATCATTTAGCAGAAAGTTAAAGGTGATTGGCAGGATTTCAAGCTGGGACCTTGGGAACCGAAGCCCAGTGCTCTGCTAATAGACAAGCTTGCACCCATGTATTACTGTAAATATTCTCATTTTTCCCTCAAAAAGTGCATAATTTGAATTTCTAATCTTGAGTAGCTCAAAGTGGAGAAATATATTTAGAGGTGATAAAAACAAGAAATGGGTTAGGCAGTTGTTGAGTTGACTTAGCTACAATCTTGCACATTTATCTTATCAGTGATAAGCTGGAGAACTGTAAATATGTCTCATGACTGTCTGACTTACCTGTTTGGTAATTTTTGTAAGCTTGATAAACATTTAAATGTGCAAGAAACTTTAAAATATGCATTGACTTTCATAAGAAAAAATGTCAAAATCTTATTTTGTTTCAAAACCATCTTTGACTCATGCTTAACTGACAGTTCAACTTAAAGCTACTGTTGTTTCACATAATGTTAGTAAGTAACAAATCTACACAAGGCATCCTAGGCTACTCAGTTGTGTCTCCATCCCACAGTAGTGATATAGTGATACTATGAATGGTCATAGGCTTACTGTACATCTTTTTCTTATAAACTAACTACAGCTAGTCAATGTACTTGACTATACATAATGGGCTATATACATCAGCATTGAAGTTAAATGATGGAACGTTCAAGGGAAAACCAGATGTGAAATAGTATTTTTCTAAAATAAAATATCACAGAAACAAAACCAATTAATTTGTGATCTTAGGTCTTAACACTCTCAATTCTACACATTTACAAATTTAAGTCGTGATGTAGGCAGCAAACAAACTCAAGCTGAAATGTTTACAACAATCAAAAGGCTAAACACAACAACAGTTGGGAAACAGCCTTTTAAAAAGTGTCTGGCTATTTTTACCATTTTAATGAGCCTTAACCTATTATGTTGACAGGAGGTACATACTTCATGATATCGCGGTCGCTGGGTCCAGAGTTCGGTGGCAGTATAGGTCTGATACTGTCGCTAGCCAATGCCATCTCTGCCGCTATGAACTGTGTTGGGTTCACGGAGTCGTTGCTGGACCTGTTCAGCAGATACGACATCAAGATCATCGACGGCGGACTGGCAGACACCAGGATCATCGGGTGCATCACAATCACTGTGCTGCTGGGCGTCGTCTGCGTCGGTATGGAGTGGGAGGCAAAGGTAGGTCATCCTGCTGCAATGTCTGTAAAATTTACATTTCTTTTTCATTGTAGGCCTACGTAAGAGTCCTGATAATCCAATCAATTGCAATAACATTGTCATAATTTCCACATCGCTGTAATCATCTTTCGCGCGCCTTGTTTGTCTACTGCAATTGCGTTATTCTTAATACACAATTACATTAGAAGAGCACCAACAGACTGCTATTAATGAATGGCTAGACCATAGGCTATGGAGTTTTTATGATTACTCCAACTTTCCTGATTCCATACTAAATTCTTATACAATACCTGTTTTTTCTCAGTTTCTTGTTCGACTGGAAACCTTGATTCAGATGACATACCTTTATTAATAATTAATTACATTAACCTTTTTCTCTAACGACGGGGTTTAGATTAACCGGTCGTTTGGATTAGCTGAACTCTAGTGTACAAAATATTTGTCAAACTCCTAAAACTATTGTAAAACAAATTTTTCTCAGTACAGACTAATCCATAATGTTATTGAGGTTTTTTATATCTATAATCTGAGACTACAGTAGTTGGTACTACAAGAGATCAATTTTTTCAGACACAAATGGGCCTGCTCGTCATCTTGTTGGTGGCAATTTGTGATTTCTTGATTGGTGCCGTTATCGGACCAACGAGTGATAGAGTTCAAGCTCAAGGCTTTGTCGGATGGAACGGTAGGTATAATAAACTAGTTTGAGTTTAGTATAGATACTGTAGTGATAGAAATAGTTTATTCGATCGATAGCAAGTGACTGTGACAAATTAAAATTGATGTCATTATTTATTTTAGGTAATATTCTTATTCTGTTGTTTTAACATGAATATCTTTATAATTGACACATCCGGCAAAAGGTGCAGTGTAATGCTTGCACTAATAAAGATATTTTTCTTTCTTTTCAAGATTCCAGACATCCTGATGTTCTGCCTTTTATTTATTTTTTTTTTAATAGCAAATGCTGTTATTTCAAACAGCCCAATTTCACAAAAGTTGAATTAAAACTAAACAGAACTGTGGCTAGTGTTTGATTTGCTGAAACATAAATGTACAATCCTGTTGGGTTGTTTCAGCGACTGTGGCAGCAGACAACATGCTGCCAGACTACAGAATGACACAAGGCACAGAGCACAACTTCTACACAGTGTTTGCTGTTTTTTTCCCTGCAGCGGCTGGCTTCCTGGCCGGGGCCAACATATCAGGAGATCTGAGAGTAGGTGCTTACTGGATCAGTCAGTGTCTTAGTGTGTATCATTTTCTGTATAATTCACTCAGTATCTTAGTGTCTGATCAGACAGTGTCTTAGTGTATATCATTCACTGTATAATTCATTCAGTATCTTAGTGTCTAATCAATCAGTGACTTAGTGTATATCATTCACTGTATAATTCACTCAGTATCTTAGTGTCTGATCAGCCAGTGTCTTAGTGTATATCATTCACTGTATAATTTATTCAGTATCTTAGTGTCTAATCAATCAGTGTCTTAGTGTATATCATTCACTGTATAATTCATTCAGTATCTTAAGTGTCCGATCAGTCAAACATTAATCAATATAAATATATTAATCAATAATCAATCCTGGAGGCAATGATGAATAAACATTAATCAGTCAAAATCTTTGTCTGATCAATCATCGTCATATTTTTTTGTCTTGTCTCTGTATTTTGAATTGTTCGATATTTATTATTCTGTATATGAATGGTTTGCAGGACCCTCAGACAGCTATACCCAAGGGCACATTGTTGTCCATTCTCATCACCACTGTGTCCTACATGGGGATGGCTGTGATAGTGGGGTGTATTGTGCTGAGGGACGCCAGTGGTAACGTGGAGGAGTTCTTCAACGGAACCTTCACAGACTGTCTCGACCGCAAGTGTGACTACGGACTGCACAATGGCTTCTCTGTGAGTACTTGAGATTATGATTGGTGTGTGGAACGCTCGGAAATGTGCTTGGGAGTCGGGGTTTGCCCCTTTCAAGTAAAGTCGGTGATTTAGAGTTGTAGTGATATTAATTTTCCTTATTTAATATTAATCAATATTGGCATACAAATCAGTTGAATTGTGTGTTAAAATACAGGAAATGAGCATGTTTAATTAGGTGGGTAAATCTAATTTTATATTTAAAACATCTGTTGTAGTATAAGATTATTTTAAAAGAGCATCTTATGTATCTGATCACCTAAATTAACGTTTGAACAGCATATTTTTTATTTAACAGTGTAAATCTATTTAATAGATTCAATTTTTATGATGCTGACCCACCAGAGTGTGTATTAAGGTGAAGAAGAGTGACGAGCAAATGATATGACAGCTTTATTACTAACTATGATCAGCTGGGTACATTTTGAAACCATCAAAACGCTCATGACTTTTCTTAAAATTGAACGAAAACTATATTATTTGCGCTACCCAAATATAAAACTACAAATTACTGGAATTCGTAGTTGAGTTTGTGGAATTTAATTTGTTCCAATATTAAACATCGTGGTCTCAATTGCAATTTTATTTTCCTCTTCGTAGAAGGAATATCCAATAATGCGAACTCTGGAAGAAATAACCTAAGGACTCTGGTTTGTCCAATTTAGATAAGATCAGATAGATTATGATTTAGATCTCAGTTGTTCTATGTAAAAAACAAATATTTTCAAATAATAAATATACTATTCTATAATTTTTCTTTAGTTGCTGATTTATAGCCCATGTAAGTTGGTGTAGGATTATAAGTAGGTTTTGTTGTTGACAGATCATGGAGCTGGTTTCAGTGTTTGGTCCACTGATCTACGCAGGATGTTTCGCCGCCACTCTGTCCTCTGCTCTAGCCTCACTGGTGTCTGCACCCAAGGTGTTCCAAGCTTTGTGTAACGACAAACTATATCCCTACATAGAGTTCTTTGGCAAAGGCTACGGTCGCAACAACGAGCCTGTGCGAGGTTACGTGCTCACATTCTTCATCGCCATCATCTTCATCCTGATTGGTCAGTACTCTGTATCTTAATTTTGGTTTATGATGTAAGACATTCTTGAGTTTTTTTGTAATTTTTTTTACTTTATGGATTTAAGTGGAAATGTAATGGTACTACACGACCAAGATGAATAGTGTTTGGAGTATTTTTCAGTTTGTATGTAAGTGTGTACGGATCTGTACGGAGCTACAGGCTACACAGGCTTTTTAAGAAATTCTGAATCCCTAAAACAATACTCACAAAACAAAAAACAACCAAATGTAAATATTGAAACTAAAAAAATAGTGTTTTAGGCTCTTAGCGAAAAAATACAAGAAACTTTTAAATACTGTTTATTTTAACATGTATTCCAAACATATATTCAATTCTGTCTGATTATTCACCTTTAACCAGCTAAATGAAGAATACAGTAGACTCCCTCTTATCCGGACACCTTTTAACCGGACTACACTCGGCGGAATTGACATCTCTTTAACCGGACAATTTTTATTAGCACATTGGTTTAACCGGACTAGATAGGCAGGAAGTGGGCAGTACTGAAACAACTGTTCTCGTGGAAAAGATTTGAGACCATATATCACGTGTCTATATACAATGCTCTCCTAAATTTAAGTCAAATATCACAGTAAAGAGTCCGTTTTAACAAGTTTTTGGGGACGTCGGTTTAACCGGAAAACCCGTTATCCGGACTGGCCACGGTCCCGAGGAGTCCGGATAACAGGGAGTCTACTGTAGTAGTCTAGTCTTAGTTCAACAAAGGTGTCGTTTTATTCATTCTACACCTTCATTAATTTATCTTCGCCTCACGCAAACTCATGTGTTGACATCATATCAATAAAATTTAAACTAAAAAATCCAAATACTTATTCTGGTTGCAGGACAGTTGAATGCCATTGCGCCTTTGATATCAAACTTCTTCCTGGCGGCTTACGCTCTCATCAACTTCAGTACATTCCACGCTTCACTGGTCAAGCCCGTCGGCTGGAGGCCCACTTTCAAGGTTGGTCAATTACTTGGCAGAAGATTTTTTGGTGTTTAATATTTTAAACCCCACGTTACCTGGTCTATCCCTCGTCAAAAACTTAGGAAATCTAATTTGCTGATAAAGGATTGACTTCAACCACCTAATCTGATAAAATTAAAATAAGGGGTCTGTGCGAACTATTAACTATTTTCTACTATTTTCAACTATTAAACACAATTTCTTGGCTGAAAAATGACATTCAACAAAATATCATTAGTACATGAATAGACAATTAGTCTATTGTCTATTGTCTGTTGTCTAACACCAATGATCATAAATTACACGTTTAGTTTATTTTATAATCAAATTTAGTAAGGATGGACTGCATTGTACATATACAGGGGGCGGCAAAAAAACCGATCTATTTTAACATTCGATAGACACTAGAGATGGGCCGATTCCTGAATTGGTCGATTCCGATACCGATTCCGATTCTACAACTTTGGTTTCGATTCTCGATTCCGCACTCGATACCGATACCTGTTAAAAATTCATTTAATAACACATATAACTTATGAACTTATGATAAAGCCTAACTTTATTTAATCTTTAAATACCGGTACAATAAGATAACTGCAATGAATTTATTAAGGTTACATAGATTAGGTTAGCCAAAAAGGAAAAATTAGATAGGGCTATTTCAAGAAGACATGAATTTTAACATATTTTATTAAATTAATAATTAATTGATAATAATAATTAATTGATAATAATAATTAATTGAGCACAATCACCAATTTAGGTACCGGTAGGCCTAAAATGTTCACAGAGTTTTTTTTTCATAAGAGTTCATAATTCGTACATCTAGGCCTAGGCCTACAATGAATGTTCCATATTGCTTGAGTTATAAACTCAAAGTCATCTTCAATATTGTCATCATCAATATCACTTAAATTACTTAAAGAATCATATAAAAAAGTCATGGAGTTCGTCACATCACTAGAACGGAGTCGGAGATCATATCCATTTTGAACAACTCAAACTCACTATGCAATGCACGCACAGAAAACAAAACAAACAACAAAAAACCAAAACATAGGTTAAACAATTCATTTGCCATTTGCAAACTCGTGACAGCTGTTTCTTTTCAGTCATAGAGAAACAACATAAAAAAACCGATAAAAATACATCGCTAAATGGCTTTCTACAATAGTCACCATGAAGCCCTGAATTAGCTGAACAGTTCGTGGGGTCTATATCTTATAATGTCATAGCTTATAATCGTGAATTTGTTCCATAGCTTATAATCAGTTATAAGCTATGCCACACTTTCACAAAAAATTATAAGCTATGCCACAATTTGGAGTTAGAAAATGCGAGTTAAACCATTGACTATATACACCTTATGTGTATTATATGTATATATTAAATGCTTGTACCATCTGGCAACATTGCCTTTGATCTGACAACATGGCGGCAACTAGAGTTCTGATAGGCCTAGTTGTCTTGTCTTGTCACTGTTGTCAAATGAACACAGCTCTACCCATTGCTACTCGTTCTGAAATGCAATGGCAATCTATTTTGGATTATAAAACTATTACGAATGTGAGATAATGAACTTGGAATTATTTATATTAGCTGACTTCAGAGTATTTCAAATAAACTATGATGTGCCACTCTTTACAACCTTCAATGTCAGTTGAGTTTAGCATTATTAATTAACCTCACTTTTCAGAATCGGTATCGAGTACAATGAAGCAAAGTATCGAGTATCGGCGATTCTTCGATACCACTGGTATCGAAGGTATCGAGGTATCGAGAATCGGAATCGGCCCATCCCTAATAGACACTGTTGTCGAAAACTGTCCTCGTGGATCTGCGTGAACACAAGCGGCTGCACTGAACATGTCTGATCGCTCGGGTACACGAATTTTGATGTTCGATCTTAATTCTCATTCCTACAGATTAATTTGAAATATTATGTTTAATTTGGTTCATTATCCATACAAAAAACCGCGATAATGTCACCCTAGTTGAAAGAATGCATGGAACTGTCGCTGAATTACAATGAATGAATCATACATAACTTTTTAAATATGTCTTGATAACAAACTCGGGTTGCTCAGGTGCCCACTGCTCTATGACTATAGATAATGGAAAGGTGTAGGCTTTCCAACGAGTCTAACCCCACTATTCTCAGACCACCTGTTGCTGAACAGTGCGCTGCAGAAAATAGATGGGTTTTTTGCCGCACTCTGTATATTATTCAGGACGTTGCAGGTCAAAACTTTTATTCATTGCCGGTTTTTTGGACAGGACAGGATTTTACCTCATGAAAAAAGGGGTCTTTTCAACCCTTTGCGGTCAAATGGTGAGTATAGGTATAGCCGCCCGCCATTTTCCCAACTGGTTGAAAATGACAACCTATAGTCACAAAGAAAAAAAAATCAAAAATGTTGGCCTTTGCGGTCGAATGGCTAGTATAGGTTGCCGTGCGCCTTTTTCCCGAGTGCTCAAATTATTTTGATCATGTTCAATGTGATACTAATGTGGCTGTCACATGTTTCAGTACTACAACATGTGGCTCAGTCTAGCAGGTGCCATGTTGTGTGTAGCAGTCATGTTCCTCATATCATGGTGGACTGCTCTGCTGACTATGGCATTTGAATTGTTCCTCTACCTGATTGTTGCTTACAGAAAAACTGGTGAGTACAATTCTATGTAGTGTGTGTGGTTCAGAGGTGGGTCTAGGCAACAGAATGGATGGGGCCCTAAACACCGTCATGGATTTTTAAGTTTAATTATATATCATTTAATATAATTCCAGCATATTTAACCTTTTAAATCACTGCTATTCTTTTACCCTATTTTATGCAGTGTATTTTTGTCCATAAAGGAGGAGGTAAGTATTCTGGATATCTTTGGATCTGCAATTAAGTGGTGTGACTAAAGGGTACTTTATAGTTGCACTGTTAAACTTATTTACTAATTTATTTTTTCAAGATGTTAAGCCTCTGGATTACCAAGTATACTATAAGTGGTAATATTTCAGATGTAAACTGGGGTTCGTCCACTCAGGCCCAGATCTACCGCAATGCTCTCGGCGCAGTACAGCAACTCAACAAAGTTCAGGAGCACGTGAAGAATTACCAGCCACAGATATTGGTACTGTCTGCTCTGCCCAGCTGTAGACCTCCATTAGTAGACTTTGCCAGTCTCATGACCAAGAACTCTCTACTCATCTGTGGACACATCCTCAGTGTAAGTCAAACTTTGGTATAGTCAGTGTACAAGAATTACCAGCCACAGATATTGGTACTGTCTGCTCTGCCCAGCTGTAGACCTCCATTAGTAGACTTTGCCAGTCTCATGACCAAGAACTCTCTACTCATCTGTGGACACATCCTTAGTGTAAGTCAGACTTTGGTATAGTCAGTGTCAAAGCCTGGATAGCCGAACTCATATGCTATTTGTCATATGAGCTACAACGATGCTATAAGTCTAAAAAATCACTTAAAAAAATTTAAGAACCTTATCTAAGAACTAAAAAAATGCCTATGGAAAAAAATAGAAAAGAACCTTCTTTGTAATTATTTCTATTCTCTTCCTTCATTCATCTTTGGTTAACATCGGACCATTGTGTGTCAGCATTGCATTCACTAATTCAACTCAATAAAAATATTGTTAAAGATTTTGTGTGAATGGTTTCTGACCCGACTTGTTGCTAGACAGGCTTACCTTAATATAAAAGAGTCCAATCCGATTGGAGCTGAAGACATCACTCTCCCCAACCCGAACCTTTCTCAGTAAAAAAATCCTGTGTTCAATAGTGTATTTCCTATTCAGGTAAGTCTGCTATCCCCACAAGAATTGTTTAAAACCTCAGCCCTTATGCTCTGTGTTTTGACAGACACCGGTGCCACACAGGGTGAGGTATGTCTTGAACCAGAAGGCGCGCAACTGGCTGGATGTACACAAGATCAAGGGTTTCTACAACAACATAGATGACTCCAACTTTGAGGATGGTGCTAGTTCCCTCATGCAGACCTCTGGCCTGGGCAAGATGAGGCCAAACATCCTGCTGATGGGTTACAAGATGGACTGGCGTACTTGTGATAGAGCCGACCTGGCCATGTACTTCAACATCATGCAGTAAGTGGTACTAATCAAACAAGTAATATATTTACCCCACACTGCACTATTTTGACAAACTTCCCATGCAAGGACCAAGGATTTAGTCCAGAAAACAGCTGTTTGCCACCAGCTTAATCAAATGGGGGTTCATTGCGTACTACTGTACTGTAATGAGTTTTACCGGACACCAATCAGCTCATTATACTGTATTTGGGTGATAATGAGTGGTTATAAACAAAAACATTACCTCTCTTAAAGGTTATGACTAGTGATTTTTAGTCCTTTATTTGGTGGTAATATGTAAGGTTTTGTACAGATTTAGTAGTATGGCGTAAACTATCGTACGTAACTCGTCCAAAATGTGTTAACCGGACTCGTATGGCAATCCCGTACTCGACTTCGTCTCGCACGGGAACGACCACACTCGTCCGGTAAATTATTATTTTCAGGACTAGTAATGTAATATACTATTCGTTTCACAGAGAATTAGGTTTAAGGAACAGAGAATACATTCAATGGTACACTTAAGTGTCTAGCACCAGTGCTGGTGTTTAGGAAAAAGTCTCGCACTACCCCCTCACACTCAACAAACAAGAATCAAGATGTACCACAACGCTCATGGTGGAGGTAGTCCCTGAGCCCTGTGCAATAGGAATTTCCGCACATTGCTCGCTGTTCGGGTTCTTCCTTGATCGTTGTCTCATAAACGTGTTTCCTCTGTAATTTACTTCTCTGTGTTCCTTGGAAATCATTTGCCTACTCTCCTGCTTTTACAACCTAATTCTACATTACTCCTCAACCCCTAAAAACGGTATTTTTGATTTAGTATTGACATTAACTTTCATTGAAAGCAAGTGGATGTAATAGTAGAATCGGTTATGGCTTTTGATTCATTAATAAAAATTGGTTAAGATTTGAGAGAATACCTCACATTGTTGGTTGGTTGTGTTTTCCAGCAAAGCGCTAGACCTGCATCTGTCAGTAAGCATCTTGCGGCTCAAAGAGGGCTTGGACTACTCCAAGATAATCACAGACGAGGTAGCCATCGTGACAACGGAGGCGGAGACTACTGCAGCCACCAGCTTCCTACAGCAACTCAGCTCTCAAGACACCCTGCCTAGAAATGAGAGCTTCATTTCCACAATGTCACAAGGTCAGTACAAGTACAACATAAGATAAATATATTGTAATAAAAAGCAAATAGTCATAAATAATTATATTGTTGGCAGTGCAAACCCTTCAGTTAGCTTTATTTCAGTTCTTTGTCTTAAAAAATGCCCAATTTACAATAGTTAAGCTATTATTCAATACATTGATAATATAAATGTACAAATACAAAAATATTGGTGTGGTATCAGATCAATATAAATGGTAGATTGGACTATGTCTATGCAATTAGTGTTGTTTGAATCTGGCTGTAAAATATAATTCATCGTGGATTCTTGTAAATGGAATAGGTACACAAATAATTTACAATTAAGCCACTAAAACTTATCAGGACAGTTGAATATTTTTATCTCTTTCAAACTAAACTTGAACAATTTGATTATATCTTAATCAGTTTTAAAATTAGGTTCAGTATAGCCAATTAATAAATGCATTTACACTTAGTACTGTATAAGTGTTTAAAACAAAAGATAAAACTTGTATTTGCTTACAGTTAGAATGGGTTACAGGTTACAACTGTCTAAGGAAAACGTATTAAGTTATTTTGCACTATTTATTTTATACCAGCCATTCAAATGCTATACATTTGTTTTACATTTTGTAGCATGATACATTATTGTACTTGACTAAGATATCCTACATCTTTAAGTTCCACTTAATCACCAAATTAACATTCACATTCAATTTTTCTAAGGCACATAACATAACATAATTTTTCGATGTGTTGCACATATAAAAATATTATAATTTGTTTTTCTTTCTAAAACCGTAATAACTAAACCAAATAACTTGAGAGTTGCCATTTTCAGTTTCTGTATCTTTCAGTCCCTAGAAATACGCTTGGTGATTCAAGCTCTGACTTGGTTTCAGCCTTGCTTGGCAGGAACTATGCTGGTAACGTAACTTATGAGCCGCACATAGGTCTAGTCTAGCCTTCACTAACTTATACTTACTGTCCATCTATTTGTGTTTTTGACTGGTTTTTTTCATGCTTGTATTTCTACTGTTTTGTTGGTAATTTCTTCTACTATACTAACCTGTTTACAGTTTTTTGTTGCGAATCTTTTATAGTTTTTAGCCTGATTCATTCTAAAATGTTTGTTCATCTGTCCTCAAATACTCATGGGGAGCATAGATTGTTTTTTGTTGTAGTAACCAAGTTTTGGTTACTTGGGAGAGAACTGAGATAGTAGAGGAAGGAAGCAGAACAAAGAAAGTAAAGAAGTAAAGAAGGGTAAGGATGCAGAAAAGAGGTTGTAGGGGAAGGATGCAGAATAAAGGTAAGGGAAGAATGATACCAAAAAAAGATTAGGGGAAGGATTCAAAATTATATTAAATAGAGAAGGGCCTGAAATTCTTTCCATTGATGCAACAAATTATATTTCATTACCAAGACCAAAAGTGGCATTTTCCGCTGCACGCTCAAGTTTCACGTCCAAGGCGGAGCCGAGCTTATAAGATTTATTATTACAAAAGACGCTAGAACGGGAATAATTGGAACAATTGCCGAAAAATCACTGCCAAGAAAGCAAACCTCCGTAACAACTATTAGTTATAAGTTGAAGGTCAAGGTTATGTTGATTGTGCGGTAAACACATACTACAAGCTGAACTAGCTTATGCATATTTCTGTTCACATTTGTATTGTTGAATGGTAAAAACAGGTAATATCAAGAATAGGAATAGTTTAATTTGTAAACAAACACTAGCGCTGGCGTTTGGGAAAATCAAGAACTGATTTGAGAGTAAGAGAAAGTAAATTTAGAGCAAAGGAAAATCAGCTGATTTTCCCCCTTATTCAAAAGTAGAGTTTCTAAAACAATTTCTTTTGTTGATATCAGCTGTTATCGAAATTAGCTACTTTCTGTACAGAGTGTTGAAAAAATGATGTATTCTCAGAGTCCTCATGGATAAAGTAGTTTACTGATTTCCCTGAAGAGTTGATAATCTAGAACACACATTGAAGACAGGACATTAACCTTGAATTTTGCTCCACAATGATTGATTTTTTCAGATACATGTACATTTATTGTTTTAATTTTTAACCATTTGTAATATTTTCATCACTTGGACGCTGGTACAGTGTACCATCAGCGCCATGTTTCTTATTTAGGCTACCATGTTGATTGACTATGAAAGCCATACTCTATTGATATTCAATGATTTTGTTATTTTTGAATAAAGCAAAAACAAGGAACTAGTTTTTATAGAGATTTTTAAAATAAGTATTGCTAATTTCTTCTGCAAAATTATAAATGAAAGATATTTTATCTCATTTTGAATCTGCTGCATTTTGTTATGATATAATGCCTGAATTTTTTTTATTAGTTATGTTTTTGTTGAGTATTTTTGTTGTCATGGTTTGGTGGTTTTTGTAAATTCTATGCATCTAAAAAAAGCAATATCTTCTCTTGGTGTAGATTTAAAATTTATTTGACATAAACTTAGATGTAAAACAAAAACATAAAACCTTTGATCTTTCCGTTGTTTTGGTAGGTTTAGGTTATTTGCTCAAAATGTCAATAAATGTAGTTAAATATCTTAAAAACCTTTAATAGTAGATTAATTTGAAAATTTTACCTATTATATAAACCTAGTATATACCTAGATTTTTTACCTTAGTATATAAACTTTTTGGTAAACTAGGCTTTTCAGCAATTGGTATATTCAGCCATAATATTTCAAATTGGATTGGTTGCATTCAGCTTTGTTCAACTTAAGTGTTTCTTTAATGTAGGACCTTGTGGGACTTGGTAAGAAGTTTTGGTAAATTGACAAATGATAAGGTTTTTGCTTTTACTGTTTTACTGTATTGATTGAAGGACCCTTGAATTAATTTTCTTAGTGTTTTAATAACCTTCCTGTTTTTTGTCTCCTCGACTTCACTATCTAAATAAACATACAGTAGAAGGTAGAACCATAGACTAAGCAACGATTTATCTATGGTAGAACCCAACTAATATTTCCTCCGTCTATTGACTGGAACCAGTTTAGTTTGTAGGCGTTAAGGAATGTTTTGAGTTCAAAGCTGTCTGCACATATCGGGTTCTATTAACAAAATCTTTGACATATAAATCATTACTCTGCTTTAAAACTTGTCACCATGATGTTTTCAATTGGTTAATCTATTTAAACTGAATGTACATTACTGAAATTATGTATAAAAGTTCTTCTACTGTATATATTTTCCTTATGTATGTATGTGTTTATGCTATTCCAATACTATAAAGATAAAGACACTTCATATTGGAAGTGTGTTCAGAGTTAATATAGTTGTGGACAAGTTAACGTGGACCTAGGGGTTGGGCTCATGCCCCTCCCTATAGTTGGGTAGCAATAATAAGGATAAGGAATAAGCCGCAGAATTTGTGAAATATAGTTGGCTCTTGGCTTGGGCACAACCGTTGTATCAATAGTCAAAGGTACAACGGTACAACCTCTGGGTTACTAGTTCATGACTATGAAGCTACTTGAATAAAATATATTGCTCTTTATTTGTAACAATATAACTTTGGTATCAATGGTTATTATTTTACACAAAGTTGCAATTTTCTTTGTACCAATATTCAAGTTTATTAAATCTATATTGTTAATTGACACAAAGTTAACATTAGTTTCTGTTACTTGAGTTGTGTTGTTTCAGTGAGTGAGGCCAGTGATGTGACCCCGCCAGGTACACCCGCAGTGACCCGCAACCCCCTGGGGGCCCTGACTAGCGCGAGGGGGGACACCGACAACAACAAAACTGAGTCTAAGAAGGAGAAGAGGAGGGACTCACGCACACACATGTACCTGTGAGTCCCATGTTCTCTGATTTGATCATTTCAATGTTGATTTTTTGGCGGTTTATCTACAATATAACATACTGTAGTTAATATAATTCAGCAAAACATTTTTCCAACATTATTAACTCATTATGTGTTGGTGCTCCGTTTTTTAGCGAATTTCGCTATAGGGAAGTAGCTATTACCGTAGGCGGTTAAGACCTAAGCCCGGGACAGATTTACTTTTACATTTTTGGGTACTAAAACCCCATATATTAAAAGAATTAAGCATTTTTTATGTACCCCCTCAACAAATAATTGACCCCCTCCCAACAGTTCCTGAACTTTACACTGTCTTTCATCATGGTAAGGCCTTGAAATCTTTCACAGTTACTAGTCTTTGTTTAAAAACTAAGGAATAATTTAGAAAAGTGTATAAAGTTTAGTCCCCCCTCCCTAATATTTCTGTATCAAAAACACTTCAGTTGCATTGGACTACTGTGCTTAGTATTGTACTACGGTACCTTCTTATTATTGTCTTATTTTATTCAGTTAAATAATTTATCAGTAACATATTTTCCTTGAGGACATTTCCAACAATCCCCCAACCAAAAAAAGGGGCTGCGGTTGGAGTTCCCAGCAAGCCAAAGGTGAGTCAGCTCTATGATGATGAGTAATATTTGTTGACAGAGGCCTGGATGGACAGCCACTGAGCAAGAACATTGTCAACAATCTGTCACAGTTCCAGAAGAACCAGAAGAAGGGAGTGATTGACGTCTGGTGGCTCTATGATGATGGAGGTACCGTCACACATTGCTATGATACTTTTTAAAATTTATAATTTCAAATTATATACACATAAGTAGACACTCTAATCTTTATTAGTTGGTAACATTTTCGACTTCATTATTAGTGAATAATGTAAAAAGTACTGTCCAGTAAGCTTTTGAAATACCTAACAAATTAAAGTATGGTTAGAAAAAAGTAAAGGGTAACTCTTTGAAGTTCCATAAAAAATCACTGTTTGACTCAGTGCAACTCAAATAATTGAAGACTTGGTTTTTAGCGAATTTCCCTATAGGGAAGTAGCTATTACCGTAGGTCTCATGGTAAGACTTAGGCCCGGGACCGATTTACTTTTTCATTTTGATGTCCCCAGAGGCCAAAAACACCACTCGTTCAAATTTTTATATATGTATATATATATATATATATATATATATATATGTGTCCGTGAACACGATAACTTGAGTAATTTTTATCCGATTTTGATGAAATTTGGTTTGAAGGTGTAAGGCGGGATAAACTTGAATGAGTTCGCAATCCAGCATGATCGGACCATGGGAACAGGGTTTTATGGGGGGTTTTATGGGGTAAAAATTGGTTTTTCTCACTTTTGACCCTCAAAACACAAAATTTCCCAATTTTTCTCTAAACCTTCTTAAAGAGCTTAAAAAAACAAACAATTCAGTATATCAAAGTGTTTTTGTACGGTTATTGGTTACGGAGAAAACTAAAAGAATGGTAAATTTAAAATTCCCATGTTATTCTTATGGAGAATATTGTAAAATGTTGTAGTTTGCTTGTTTATGGATATCTTTTGATCAAACTTGGCAAATATATTCATTTTATAATAAGCAATAATTATTTTACTTAAAACACACACTTTATTAGTTTCCTTGTAGCAGCAAACCTAGGTACTCGTTAAACCTAAAGCTATTTAAATAGATCAATTGAAAATCAATTCAGCCAAATGGAAATTCGCTTAGGCGTCAGGTTTGCTGCGGCGGGGGTATTTTTTAACATACATCGATGATGAATCAGCCACCAATGCTGTATCCTTGTGTTGATAGGACTCACATTACTACTGCCCTACATCATCTCTACCAGGCACAACTGGTCTGACTGTAAACTGAGGGTGTTTACATTGGCCAACAAGAAGGACGAACTGCAGTACGAACAAAGAAAGTGAGTGCTACAACACAACAAATAATACACCACATATAAAGTCATTTTAATTTATTGTTGTCTTTTTACACATTCTTGCTAAAGTTGACTTAACCAACATTTCCTTTGTTGCTCATCTTGACGTTTGACTACAGATATTATGTGCGTCAGTTATTTTTATTTGTTATCACAAGTTATTTGTGCATCAAAGTAGCAAAGCCTTCCATTTCAAATGGTAAAATAATGTTGACGCTCAAGGCTTACCGAGCTGGATCATTTTCACATAGTTCTAAGTTAAAATGCTGTCAGTGACAGTAAAATATTGTTTGTCTTAGGTATAGTGTAACTTTTCTTCTCTTTCTTGTTCCAGTCGTTTTTATCATTCAGGCAAGCCTGTTATCCTCACAAAAAATCTTAAAATTTACTTATTTCTTTATAATTGTTACAGCATGGCCAGCCTGCTAGCCAAGTTCCGGATAGACTATTCGGATCTCAAGGTTATCCCGGATATCACAAAGAAACCCCAGGATGAGACTGTGGCTCAGTTTGAATCTCTCATCAAGGAACTAAAAATCTCTGATGATGATGAAGATGGAGGTAATGACGTTATGATAATTTGGTTAAGCTAAATAATTTACTGGCTTTTATGCCTTCCAGGGGTGTAAGATGAATATGGAATGCAGCACTTTATACTGTCAGAGTTGTTTTTCTAATATTGACAGAATTTTTGTTAATATTTTGCTTATAGAGGCACTGTTCATAAACAACTCAACCCATACTATTATTTGTATTCATCCAAATATGTTGCTCAAGGTGGTCAGTAATCTTTTAAGTTTAACCAAACAGGTGTTATATACAGTCATCTTGCGTGTTTCTCTAGAACATTTTTTTTGTATGCAAAATAATTTTTTTTGTAATGTTTTTAGGTGTAATTTATTCTTTAACCATTGTTTTGCTCATGAAGCTTTATGTTGATGTTATACAGTAGACTCTTGGGAAGAAGGAACAGGCATACAAATAGCTAAACTAAGAAAGAATTTTCTGTCAGTTGATGGCACCCAGTCAGGCAAAGAGTTCAACTTGATTTTGCACCAAATAATTCAGAAGAACGTAATAGTTTAACTCATATTTGAAAGTGGCCCTTTGAAGAGTGAATATTTAAGTTTAATGTGAGAAAACTTTTGTGTGTTATCAAAAATGGCTAGATGATAAATAATTATGGTACCTTGTCAAGTAATCTACATTTCTGATGTCAGGTTAACAACCTACATGTTTCGCCATAAATGCAACATCGTCGGGTTTACAAAACATAAGACATCGATGTCATGCGACACGCGCACACAAAAAATACACAAAACGAACATTTAATTGACATTTATCATATGACGCGGACAGCCCCGGCACAGGTAGTAGGCCCTCGTAGGCAAAAGTCGTTAATTCCTACATAGAAAAGATGGATCTTAGCAACAAACTTAAATTGAGTCACACACAGGCTGATTTTACTCTGCCAGCTACCTGGCTTGCTAATCATTATTATAAGCTTAAACATTATCTAAAATATGCTTGTTAATGTATATCTTGTTTTGGTTGCTTGCTAACTTGGAAATTAGAATACAGCCACTGTAAGTTTATGAAGAAGTAATATTGTCATGTTTTATTTGTGTGTTTTAAATGTTTGTCTTTGTCCAGCTTTTTACTAAGTGTTTACAAATACTTGCCAGAATTCACTAGATTAAGGTATGTAATGATGGGTGTCCACCAATCAACTTAGCCATGAGATGCAACCCCTAATATAAGAAACAAGGCCTCTCGTTTTTCTCTACAGTCATCATTCACTCATATTTTGGTTAAATACATACTGTGGTGTCCCAATCCTAATTATTCATTATCCATGGGCTAGAGTAATAATCCAAAATTTCTTTTTGTAAAAGAGGAAAACAAAAGAAAAGAGATATACATCGGATTCTTAGACATCTTTATTACTCTTCAAAAACATTAATATTGATTTATATTCAAACATATACATACATGTACTTCTAAATTAACACATTATGTAATAAATAATAACAGGAATTGAAATCTCGTTTACACTGAAAATCAATTATGAGCTCAGTATTAAAATGGGCACAAAACATAGAAACTTTGAAGTTCAGTGAGGCAAAAGTGAAGAAAAGAAAAAAAATAGACCCCGGCAAATATTTGTCAGTACTAAACAAAATCAATGTATAGCCCCTTTGAATGGATACTTTGATCTTAGCCAACAGGCCGAGAAGCGATTAGCTAAAAAAGATTTAGGACGAGTTGTTATATAGCCTACCATATAAATAATAATAATTAGATACATAAAAATATTCAGGAAACATTCTGGCTTGAAAAGCATGTTTATTCAAAATAACACTAAGAAAGAAAAAAATCAAAGAAAAATGTTAATTTTGCACAGTTTATTAAAGTTGCGACAATGTGTTTGTAGTGCACATAACAGACGCTGAACTGCTGGCTATGAGAGACAAGACAAACAGACATCTGCGGCTGAGGGAACTGCTGTTGGAGCATTCTACTGGCTCTAACCTCATTGTCATGTGAGTTTTGAGTATATTTTGTATTGAAATTATATACTGTGTTGAAATACTGTACTTTATGCTGTTGTATATTCAATTGATTTCTTCTTGATTTCTCTTATTGGCAGAGTATTTTTAGTAGGATAAAACAAAATTCACCCAATTCTTCTAACTACAAAAAATCTATATTGATATAAAATGAACTGTTTGATTTGAATTCAAGTTGTGTAATTATTTATTTAAATTATGAATTAGTCGGATAGTAGAGGATTAATGAACACTAACACTCTATAGGCTCTTGTTTGACATCAACGCTATACGACTATTTCACTTTTTGGTTGATGTTTGCAGGACGTTGCCAATGCCAAGGAAGAACGTGGTGACAGCAATGTTGTACATGTCCTGGCTGGAGGTGATCAGTCGAGACATGCCTCCGTTCCTGTTTGTGAGAGGTAATCAACAGTCAGTGCTGACGTTCTACTCGTAAACATCTCCGAGAGCTCTCTCACGTCACTCACTCAGTCTGCAGCGACTGCATCAGCTCTTCGGGTGTTGTCAGGTCCACAGTAACAATGCTGGCCTGATCAAGTCAGGGTGTTTGAATCATCGGTCTGGGTTGGTACTTGTTGGTTGTATGGAGTATCTTTTTTACAGCAACCTACAATAATTAGGTTAGGTTTGGTTTACCACTGTAATTTTACTTTGACTATTGTGAGAAGTAGACATCTCATTCCCAAGTTAAACTTGTTGTCAATTTTATAATGTGAATCAACGTTGTTGAATTGAGCAACTGACTGAATGTGCTGCTGCGAATTACTGATTTATGTCTCATATTCAGACTTTTTAATGCTATTACTCCTGAAAACATGTTTTTGGTATGTGATAAATTGTTGTAGTTTCTTTTATTTTTGTAAATATGTCTTCTCAGGAGTACTAAGAAACCCTTCAAAACAGTACTTCATACAACCAATAAGTACCTCTGAGTATCTGTTAAATTTTCTTGTAACACTTACTGTTTCAAATGTAAATCCCTCTAAGAGAACCTGACTCACCCTAACTAAGCGCCCACCTTTAACTGTAGCACCTAGCTTCCCTCAGTGGTTGTAGTTCTTCTCAATCAAAACCACGTAATGTATGGTATTACGATCCAAACCTTGTAACTTGTAACCTTTTAAAGCTTTCAATTATTTCAGGGTAACGTAACAATTGGTATTTAAAGTACCAACATTGTTTATGGATAAGCAGAATTTTTGAAATAGGTATTTATTGTGCTCCAAGAGCTACCTTTGTGTTCCTGTTGCTTTCAAAGAAGGATATTTTAATTTATTGTACATTTGTTCATAAACACTTGGTAATTGTACTCAATGGTCGCTATAAAATAATGATTGTTATTAATTGCATGATGAAATCTGTTATCACCTTTGTGAATAAATGTTAACATATTATTAGGTGTCACTTTGAAAAAGAACATTGTTGTTAACATTATTGATGTATGACATGATAATTGTCTGAAAGAAATCCTTTGAGAAAATGAGCATAAAATAACCGTGGAAGATAAATAATATATTTGTAAGAATATAACAATTGCATAAAAAATATATGAATTTCCGAAATTTAAGGTTAGCTAGCTGGTAAGATATCAGGTGAATCGAGTGTTATAGGAATAGCTGTGCTCTTGTGTAATGTTGTTATTTCTTAGTACAAATTATTTGGTTGAGTTTTGATTCCAGTATTTTTATTGATAGATGTACACAAGATAGTACTACAGATGCCAGTTGACACTCAGGGGAAGGGATTAAGTTTTTTTACATTAATAAAAAAAAACTAACCTAGACAATAAAACAAACTGTGACAGGTGCCTTCCCTGAATCACATAAAGTTTTAATATTATTTATTTTTTATGATTGGAAAAACTATTTGAGATCTAAAACTGTTAGTCTCTTTAAATTAATTGAATTTAAAATCCTAATTGTCAATTGGCTTGTATTTCCTTAAGTTTTAGTATCTGTTAATATTATATAGTTACACATTGTAAATATTGTACTAGCAAACTTGTTATATTCACTTTCACTTTGGATCAATCTGGTTTATGTGAACTGTTGGTGAATATCTTCCTGATTCAGATAACAATTTATTCAGTCACAATTATTTTGAATTGTGAATGATTAGTATTTAATTTATCTATCCTATAATTATTGATAAGTTTGGTGGTTCTAGAATCATCTCTGAAGTCTAATAATAATCAAAATCAACTTTACAGTTTGTACTTATGCTGTAAAGATCAGCCTTTATTTTTTATACTTGTAAATAACAGTGTTTAAACCCCCCCCCCTCTGTGGTGTTTTATTCTTTATATCATTGACAGTGAAAATAATTGTATTTGTGTGTAATAAAAAAACTCTTATCAGTGTTGAAAAAATCAAGAATTGCAATAAAATTTATCAATGTTATCTTAATAATGAAAGAAATTATGTTTTATATTTTTAATTACCAATGTTAAAGTTTCAAAGCTTATTTCTCGCAGGTTTTTTTTAGATTTAGGATAGTTTAGAATTCTTTATTCACAATATACTTATTTATAAGCCAGTTACTGCCTAAGACACATTGCCTTAGAGCTTTTCTAAATATTTCTAGATTAGAAATCACATTCCATTTTTATATGGAAAATCACGCTCGCCGACAGATTTTGTAAAAACAACTTGAAAACAAGTTAGTTAAACTAGCGAAATCATAGTTTTTATTTTTGTAGTTTTGCCAGATGATGAAATATTTTTCAGTAAATAAATAGACAATAAATGATTGACTACGCTTATAAAATTGTGAACCATTGTCTACTCATGGTCCAATAACAGCCTTATGCCTAAGCCATTTCAAAAATTCAAATCCAATTAATTGAAAAAATGTTAAACCAATTTGAAAATTTTATTCTTGTATTAGTTAGTGAATATTTATAGAATTTAGAACATTTTTTTAATGTATTCCTTAGTTTTAAACTTATCTTTGAAGTCTTTTATTTAAAACACTGGGAAAAGTAGTTAATACTTAAAACTAACTAATACACACAATATAAAGCAGTTTTACATTAATTAAATATTAAATTATCTAAAAAAAAACAGCATATTATTATAATAATACTGTTGTAATGATAATTGTTGACTACTGAGTGATTTAGTTACTTTCCATAAATATGTACTGTCTTGGGTTTTCCTATTTTTGCTCAGTGGACATTTTCATTAGTAGTTCCTATATGCGCAAATAGTTTTTGTAATTTTATGTCAACTAAAGTTAGACTTGTAAAATTGTTATATCCAGGGTTTTCTTTGTTATACCTTTTTTTTTTAATATACACTTTAAGTTTTTGGTTTATAAGGTTGCCAATTTAAAGTGTTGGTTAGTTCATTTATTTTTATTTTATTTGTCTGTGTTAACAAAACATTGTATTCTAATAAATCATTTTTAATTCATGATAAATTGTTAAGAGTGTACTTTTTCAAACATCCTTGGGTTTATTAAAGAGCTGGGTGGGGACGCGGAAAGGCCTCCCCAGGCAAAATCTCCCGTAAAATTAAATTTACAGTTGAATAAAGCGATAACAACCAAGAAAGTTGATGTTTTGTTTTCTGAATAGTGTTGTTAAAGTAAAAGAATTGTTCATCCATGAGTTAACTACTTCTTTGATTTAATAGTATATTTCGTACCTAGGGCCGATAATGAGGTTTTGCCAGCTCGTCTCGAACTTAAAAGTATCGAGAGCTGCAAAACGATTTCGACGAATTTTATTACCAACACTATTTATTACCACTATTCACCACAATAATAATGCACACTGATAGTCAACACAACTACAACTTAAAGGTTAGGCTATGTGAAGAAATAATTTGAGGAATCAGCAAAAATAATAATAAATAGTTGCTAGGCAGCGGTGACAAAAACAATTCTATTGCGATGGTATGGATACTGATTGTGTATTTAATATGCATTCATATTTGTCCAAACGTTTTTTTTTTTTTTTTTATTAAATACCAAGATGTAGTTACAGATGTGCATGAAATTGAATCATGGTGTACCACAAGGCAGTGTTCTTGGACCTATTTTGTATATTTTGTTCACTTATGACCTTCCATGTACTCAGGACATTACAGTCGCAACATTTGCAGACAACACTGCTTTTTTATCATCAAATCAGGATCCTATTCTGGCATCATCAAACCTTCAGGCTGCATTAGACGATTTGTCTCAGTGGCTATAGAATTGGAAAAATCGAAGTAAATGAAACGAAATCGTAAGTTACATTTACTATGTCAACAAGAACTTGCCCCCCAGTAACATTGAACATTGAATAATGACTTGCTTCCACAAATAACGAAGTTAAGTACCTTTGTAAGCATCTCGACAGACGGTTTACATGACATTCACACATTTGGAACAAACGACTTCATATAAATTTGAAAATAAACAAACTAGATTAGCTAATGGCAACTAAGGGACCTACAGTTTATAGTAGAATCCGAACCACATTTTTTTCCTTGGTATATACGAATTGGTCTAGTTATCAGGATAGTACTGTGGATAGTAGTAGTATTCACTCGTACGGACGTTAATCCACACCAGGGAGTATCACATCCACAGTGCAGGCCTATAAATATCCACAATTTGTGACCTCCTAGTAGCTGGATTACAGGACAACGCCACAGTCCCAGTCTCTGGGGAACCACTTCAAACTCAAACATAGAAATAGTTCAAAGTTTTCAATCCAAAACACTAAGAAAAATTTTACAAGCGCCTTGGTTTGTCACAAATAAAGTTATTCATCAAGATACAAAATTATCCTATATTAGAGAAGAAATTAAAAAAACCAAGCGAAAAATATCAAAGAAAGCCATCAAAATTTCCTTGCAGTTAACCTCCTCGATAATAGTGAAGTAGTGATATAGGCTCAAAAAAAATAATCAAATAGACCTTCCAAATTGTTTCTAGTTAAATTTGTTAGTTTTTGTATGTTAGTGCACTTGATGGAGTGTAACTATACAACTAACCCGTGTTAAATTGTCATTTAATTTACTTATTGTTCTAGTATAGAATAGATTGAAAATAAATACTTGTAAAAAAAATTAGAAAAAAGCAGCTGATTTTGCGGCTTTAGGGATGTAAAAACCTGCTCAGTCCCCAAATGATGTTGACAGCTGGAATGGCCAGCAAAAGGTAACTTTCAGCCACCAATTGACATGTAAAACAGCTAAAAACATCATAGCGTGCTGAAATAGTATAACTTACTAGTCCTGAAAAAAAGTGTTTGCCGGACGAGCGTGGTCGGTCCTTTTTTGGGATAACCATATGAGTCCTGTAAACACATTTTGGACGAGTGACGTACGCCATACTACTAAGTCCGTATAAATCCTTACATATTACCACCAACTAAAGGACTAAAAATTACTAGTCATAACCTCTAAGAGAGGTTATGTTTTTTTTTATAACCAGTAACCACTCATTGCCACCCAAATACAGTATAATCAGCTGATTGGTGTCCAGTAAAACTCATTACAGTACAGTAGTACGGCGGCAAACAGCTGTTTTCTGGACTAATAAATCCTTGCGTGGGAAGTTCGGCAAAATAATATAGTGTGGCGTAAACATAATTTTAAAATGTACTTTTATAAAATCTCTTAAAACCCACTTTTGATTAACATAAGTAATTACAAAACATTTTTCAGCACTAAATTTATTTCTTATTTTTTAGCCAGGGGGGTGCAAGTGTGCACCCCTGAGGGCGCCCATGAAGGATGCCAACTTTGTAGGGTGACTGTAGGAAAGGAAAAGTATATTTTCCAATGTTATTGACTTGACTCTATTCAACACATGAATAGTACTCATGTTTTATTGAATAAAGAATTGACTAGCGGTTTGAGATATAATTTAGACCTACCTAGTAAAACTGAAGATTGGTAACTGAACGAGATTGCATTAAGACAACACTACCATTTAGTAAAAAAGTATAGTCTGTTCTAAAACGAGAGTAAAGCAGCAGTCTCCATACAAGGCACACTACCAGCTAAAACTACCAACATTCCAACAATGATTATCAATCATTGCTTATTGCTGACTGTTTGGATAAGTGTTTTTTTTATGCCATAAAGATACAATTTCAAAGCCTGGTTGTTCTTTTGATTTTGAACAGAGTATCCTTTTTGACTATGTGAGATAATAAAATTTATTGTTTGTTACTTGGGTATTATCATTGACAATTGGATACTGAAGTTGTATTAATAGTCAAAGGTATTATAGCGACCACAACTAATTACTAATTACTAATAACCTAACCTAATGGTGGACTATGTTTTAGGTTAAGGGAGAGTAGGTTGGGAAGATTTTATTTAAACTAATTAAAATCTTACTAGGTGAACCCCGTCGAAATTGACGCTTACTAAAAGGCATGCACTTATTCATCTAACTACGATAAGAGTGAAATTATCAAAACGTTGAGCATTTAGCTTTGTTTAATGAGTAATAAATGAACGTAAAAACAATAATGACTATTGCATTAGCTACAAAATATGGTTATCTTTCAACAAATAAAATATTTCCAGTACCGTATGTCCTCATAGTTATTATTATGATTTTAGCTGGTTTCCCTTTCTTTTGGAAGAACCTTTAAATAGTATTTAAACAATATTATTGGTGGATCTTTTGTGGTGTACATTTCCGTGATTTCATCAGCGCAAAGTGCAATGCAGATATTAAATCTGTCCTTTTATTTGCGAAAAAAAATCTGTTTCTTGAGAAGCCACTTTCTTACTTCAAAGGGAGGTCTACCCTTAAGCTGTGTAAGTTTTATTTTTTTATTTTCCTTTGTCACGCCGGACATCACACAGTACTTCTGTGCCAACGAATAACCCAGCCTCAATCACATAGTTTTGTCAATATAATCTCTCTTCGGGATATTCTTGGTGTAGTGGAATATACTTAAAGTGAAACCTGGTTTTTATTATTGAACTGTTAGGGGCCACGTTTTAAAACGCTATTTTCAACTTGTTAAACTTAGCTTAGGAGTGAGAATTGAAATGATGTTTTAGGGTAATAATGTAAATTTTAACTTATTTGAAGTTGCTACCAAAGTAATGCGGCACTAACCAAAGAATATTACTTTTTGTCTACAATTAATGGCCTCCCACAAAGTCAAACTTTAACTTAGTTTTACAAAAACCAGTCTATTCGGTTAAATATTTTTAATTGCAAGAGGTAAAATTTAGAATCAAGAGTTTTCACTACACGTCTTAAGAAGCGATTCAAGGCAAAAGAATTAGCTGTTTCTGACACTATTTGTAGGGACTGAATTAGATTATAACATGTTTTCTTGTGGTTAAAGGATGTTTCTGATTTCCTATAGCCTCATATACCCACCAAATTGTTTGCATTTTGTTATGTTAACCCATTGGGGAAGGAATTAATGCGCTACCTGCAGCACCTACTGGCGGCAATTAATTTTACCGAATTTGTAGACTTTTACTCTAACTGCTATAGAAAGAAAACCTTAGGTAATAAATTAATAATTCTTTCACCATTTTGGTCACAGTAAAATTGTCTACAGAAAAGTGGTAATTGGATAGTCAAAGTTCTAAACTAAAATATATATATATATAAAGATTATAAAAATAAAAAATTTTAAAAACAATATTTTGAAAGTATACTTGATATACAAATTCCAAGATTAATCCAGAAACCAAATAACACTACTATTATAAAGTTCAATCGATTCCCTACGTAGAAAAATCAAAAGTTGTGTGCTTTTATAAGTAATAACATTAAAAAAAAATTGTTTGTTTACCTTACCGCAGCTGATTTTTGGTGATATGTGGTTTCCATGGCAACACAAAATTGTTTGTTATTCGCTAAAATAAATGAGTAAATACGCAAATTAAGAAGCAAGATATTTATAAACATTATAATAGTAAGAAGAAACAAAAAGGGCGAAAAACAATAATAACTAAATAACTAATGGCGCTGCCTAGCGGTGACACAGGCGGCACTCGTAAGTCGGCCGCCGGGCCTGCAGCGGCCGTACGAGTAACGCTCGTAAGTCGGCGCCAATGGGTTAAGAATAACATAACAATAGAACACAACATATTAATAGAAATTTTTTAAATTCTAAGTATTTTTTTAATTTTAAAATTTAATTTTTTTCATTGTGAGAGGTCATTATTGATTAAAGAACAACATAATCTATTCTTTAGTCAGTTATTACTGCTTTACTTCAGTAGTACTGCTAGCTGTTTTTTCCACAACTTCGAATAAGTTATATTTTTACAAAGTGTGTTAATAAATTAAAGTTTATTAATTATAATTTACATAGCTCGGGATCCAAGGTTCAACAAAACAAGACACAAATAACACTGTCCAGTACGTTATTTACTGACATCACCATTTTACACATTTCAACATTATATGTACATAAACAAGAAGCAGTTAAATATT